CCGTAATTACTGATCTTCACTGTGTATCCTGTTGTGATGGGAGCAACCACAGCAGCTGGTTTTTCATTGTCAAGAAGTTCTGGTTTCTTCTGTGATTTGTGTTGCACCTTATTCTTTATTTCTGTTTCAATCTTGGATTTTTCAGCTGTCAGGGCATCACGTACTCTCTTCCTAGTGGCCTTTTCTAGCAATGCCTTTACCTCTTCTAGATCATTCTGCAACTGTGTTAAAATAGAAGGCAAATTGGCTATGATACATAAGACATACTTCTCGCCTCAACTCACCAAAAGAAGAGCTAAAAATTAAGAAGTTCATCAGTGTTTTCCAGGATTGAATTTAAACTTCAATTGCTTCCACTAACTTACTGGATTTTTAAATAATTCAAGCTTCCTGGTTTTTTTAAGGAAAATTTCATCTTGAATTAATGACAGGTAATCAACCTTAAATTTTCCAACTTTTACCTTATCTGTCTTTATGTAGAACATTTTATTTACAAGAAACTTGGAGGATTTCTAAAAGAACACAGAAATCTGTTTACAAAGGGGGTTCAGAGACTCCCTTGTAATATTCGTAAGTGGTTAAAAACTTTTTACTATTGAAAGAGAACCAATTCTGACTGTGGTCAAGTGCTACAACTACTTGGTTGAGGTAACGAGTGCTCTATTTTCCTTTAATAATTGCTCCTCACTGACCCTCCTACCCACATACCTTACATAAAAAGTTTGAATTTTTAAGCTAAAGAAAAAAAATTCTGCTTTTAAGAAAGTCTTGTGCAGGGTGTGGTGGCGCACGCCTGTAATCCTAGCACTCGGGAGGCTGAGGCAGGAGGATCATTGTGAGTTTGAGACCAGCTGGGCTACAGAGTGAACTCAAGGCCAGCCTGAACTGCATAGCGAAACCCTGTCTCAAAAAGACCAAAACAAAAAAGAAAGAAAAAGTCTTGTTTGGCACTTATGTCAGAAGTCTGAGCTTGGTTACACAGAAGGGTAATCTCAGACAAATGCTCCAAAAGGCACTGAACTCTTGAAAACTAACCGAAGAGGTTACCATGCTCTTCTCACACATCACTGAATACACCACCTTTAAGTCCTTCCTACTTTTTGGAGAGAGCCAACATTTCATAAAAATTTAGTTAAAGATACTAAAGTAGTAGGTTTAAGTTCTTTTCTCTAACTGTGCTGACATACAAATCAATGCTCTCCATCTTTCCCAAAAATTGATTTCTGTCTTGATAGGAGCAACAGGGCTGAAGAAAAATGGTATCTAACTATACAATAGCTTGACATTAAGTAAAAGGCTAAAGATAAAAATCTTCAAACTGGGTCAGCGATACAGCTCAGTGGCACAAGCACCTGCCTGCAAAGGCAAGGTGCTGGGTTTAATTCCTGGTACCAGAAAAAAAAAAAAAAAACTTCAAACTGGGCATGGTGACACATGACTGTAATCTGAGCACTCTGGGAGACAGAGGCAGGAGAAGTGCAAATTTAGTAAGAACATGTCTCCAAAAGCTAGAAAAAAATTAAAAATAAAATAAAAGGGTAGAAGAGAAAGGTAAATGTAGCTCAGTGTGAAGGGCAAGTTACTCAATGGCCAGATGGACAAAAAATAATGGTAAGGGTTTTTTTTTTTTTTTTTTTTTTTTTTTTTTTTTTTTTT